TCATTCTACTGGATCAGAGCAAACTTGTGGCCTGAATATGGGATTGCTTGAATGAAACACAAAGAAAGGCTTTCCGAGTAATAGCCCAGTGAACTTACCTTAAACCTTGACATAATTTTCAATTTTAGTATGGTCTTGGGAGATGGACATATATATCCTCTTGAACTTCTCTTCTCTTGATTCTTTTATTTATTTAGTAATGAGTTTGACTACCCTTATATTCTATTTAAATAAGGTTTAATACCTAATTTGGTCCCTAAACTTTCTTTTTGAAACTTAGTTCGTCCTTTAACTACAGAAAGGACACAAATCATCCTTAAACTTTATTTTTCCAGAACCCAAGTAGTCCTTCCGTCACAGAACTGCACACATGGCAAGTTAAGTCTCCTCCAATTACCTTTTTTAATTTTTATAAGCTTACGTGGACAATACACCTCACCCAATTGATGAGATGGCAACATTGTCTCTCTCTCTTTGTCAATGCAGAATAGCCCCCCTTCTAGATTCACTCTCCCTTTTAGGTTTCTTCCAACCTGGGGAGATTCTATCGGGTAATTCTAGGGGAAATCAACCTGAAGCTGGTAGAAATCAAGCATATGAAATCAAGAGGGAGTGGTGAGGAAGAGAAGTACCTAATCATGGTCATGTTGAGAGAGGGCTTCAGAGGGATAGAAGAGAGCAAGATGGAGTCATTAGAGAGCTTGTTTCTGATTTTGGGGTAGAGAAGCTTCTGTCGCTTGGGCAAAACATTAGTGAGTTTGCAGATTCTGCACTTCAACTCGGCCACCGAGTTGTCGCCACAGACTCGCATGGTGTCCTCTTTGCCGCTCCATTTTGCTGTCGGCATTAGCCCCTCCTCTGTCGCCGACGAAGAGGCAACTGTGGAGTATATGTGTTTGTGAAAATTTTACGAGAAACAATTTGTTCTCTTCTAATCGGACGAGTGCTGCACACGAATTTATTTCCTGCCATGACCGCAACCCTTGCGAAAACAAACAGGAAAAAAGAAAAAGGCACTATATGAAAGACTCAAAAAACCATCTACCTCTGAAGATTGTCGGTGACTTGGCGTTTGAAACCGGTGGGAGGGTTGACTTGCCACTTTACCAGCTTTTTCTGAAGGTGATTGCAAGCAGTCTTACTCAGCACCTAAAAGCATCAAAATTCCATAATTTTAACATAGAATACACCAAAACAAAAACAAAAAACAAAAAAAATCAAAGAAATAAAGAAATCTAGAGATACTGCATCTCATGCATATGTAACACAAGATGGAAAGAAAAGGAGAGAATTGGAAGCGAACCTTGTGAGCAACGACGGAGGAGGAACTGGTCATGCTTTTGCCGTCAGTTCTTCCGATGAAATCAATTGAGAGAGAAGTGGAAAAAGGAATAGAGTTCTTTGGTTTTTGTAGGCTGGAAGAAACATCCCACTGTTTTATTGTTTTATTTTATTTAGAAAGTTAGAGATTGACATGTCATCAATTAGGTGAGGTGTATTATCCACATAAGCTTTGTTAAAATTAGAAAAAGGTAATTGGATGGGACTTAACGTGCCATGTGTGCAGTTTCTTGACGGAAGGACCATTTGGGTTCTGAAAAAATAAAGTTTAAGGACGATTTGGGTGCTTTCTGTAGTTAAAGGACGAACTAAGTTTCAAAAAGAAAGTTTAGGGACCAAATTGGGTATTAAACCTTTAAATAATAACATGTTGGTTACGCTGAGTTCAAAAAAATAATAATAATAACATAAAAAAAAAACCCAAACTGCAACAATTTCTGTTTTTATTTGATTGACAAAATTCAACATGGAGTCCCTAAACTTGTTGCATGAAAGAAGTTAAGCCCTTTCTGGGGATAAGTAAGCCGTTC